GCGGGACGAGGGAGCCCAGGGTTGGGACAGCGTCATGGGGGCAGGGGAGGCGTGGGACACGCAGTCCATGAGGTGCCCGGAGGCCAGTTACGTGGGGCTTGTAAACCAGGAAAAGGAGATCAATTTACTCACTGCCACAAGAGTTGATGCGAGAGTTTGAAGCAAGGTGTGCAACAACCTGGTTTGTGTTTAACAAGACCCCTCTGCTTGCGGGACAGAGGTTGAGCAGTGGGGAGGAGGGGGAGGGATGGAGGCTGGGCCCCTGCTGGGAGGCAGCAGCTGTCCAGCTGGAGCCACTGGCTCAGGCGAGAGTGGTAGCGGTGGGGATGGAGAGGAATGCTTGGATCGCACATGATCTGCTTCTCTGATGGGTTAGATTTTGGGGTGAGGTGGGGGAGGGAAGGCGAGGGCAGCAGCAGGTTTTGGGCCTGTTTGGGTGAGTGAGGTAGTTGGAACAGTGTCGGGGGGGTCGCGGTGTCAGAGTGCTATTTTGTCATGTTAAATTCAAGGTGCCCACCCTGCAGCTGAGCAGGGAGGTCCTATAGTGCAACCAGCACAGACATTCCAGAAGTGGCGGCCAGGGAAGCCTGCATTGGACGGCGGGCTCTCCCAGCCGGTGGCGAGGGAGGACCAGGGACACGAGACTCAAACGGAAGTCGTAGGATGGCTTGGGTGGGGAGTGGTGCTGGGGTTGTGGAGAGAGAAAGGACTCCCTCCGCAGCATTTAGTTACTCTTTGCAAGGAAGCAGTGAGGACCGCGTTTCAGTGACCAGACTTTGACCTAGACTGCAGGCTACCTGCATTACTGTGTCACTGAGGTGCTGCGATAGGCCAAGTTAGTTCATCTCGTTTCTGTTTCTCTGTATCTGTTTGAGAAGAGATGGGAGCGATTTATTACTAAGTTATGCTGGAGAAATGACTGAACTTGCCTGCCTAGAAGTAGCTACCATTAAAATAAAGCTTACCTGGCTCCCCACCATCCACTGTCTCCCCTCGAAACCTGAGGAGCCTGGGCAGCTGAGTGATTTCCCCCAGGATGTGACAGTGCTTTCTCTCTTCAGCAGAATATCTAGTAAATAGATATAAATTTGAGGTTACTTTGCCTAGATACACTCCTCAGAATGTACATCTAACTTTTTGGTAGGTGATACATTCATATAGTTCTAACGTCACAACGCACAGTCTCCCTCCCGCCCAGCTGGTCCCCCCGCCCCCACCCCTAAGCTGGGAAACTCTCGTTTCTTTTTCTCACCACACTTTTGGGCCTCTTGCTTTTTTTCTATCTAAATAGAATATTTTTCACACTTTTCCGCATCAGTATGTGAAGAACTTCCTCACTGTTTTAACTTCCATTGTGTGTATTTAATCAGTCCCTTCTCGGTGAACATTTAGGTGAACAATTTTCCATAGCTACAGAGTGCTGCAGCGCGTGGCCTTGTTCACACACGTCACACTGCCTGTGGGCAAGTGTGCTTGTGAGGTGAATCGTAAGTATGATGGCTAGGTCAAAGAGGAGGTGCTCTTGAAATTTTGACACACCCTTCCCAGTTGTCCTCCATAGGTGCCGCACAGCGTGCGCGCCCCGAGGCGCAGGCCGAGCGTGCCTGGTTTCCTGTGTCGTTGCTAGCAGGGTGTATTATCAAAGGTTTGGATTGGCCAATTCGGCCAGGTTTAAAATAGCATCATTGTGTAGTTTTATTTTGTTATTTTTCTTGTTATGAGGTTGAGTATCTGTTTATATATTGAAGAGGTAAATGTTATGGACAATCTCATTTTCTTCATCCGTTTTTCTGTTAGGATATCAGTCTTTTCTGTATCTACATGCAGGAGTATTTTCTACATTAGGGCTATTAGTCCTTTGTATAAAATAAAACTCCAGTTTTTCTCGCTTTTTTGTCTTTTGACTTTGCTTGTGGCACTTTTCTTCATGTAGAGTTTTTTTATTTGTTAGCAGGTGAAATTGCCAATCTTTTTTATGTCTTACAGATTTTTGGTAATGGCTGTGAAGGCCTTTCCTATTTAGATTTTCTTCCGGAATTGCGTCACTTCAGTTTTGATGTTTAAATGTTTGATCTGCTTGGTCTAAAGGTTACAGTAGGGGTCTGCTTTCATCTTTGCTTCAGACAACGCTGGTGGTCACAGCGGCAGAGCACCGGGGCAGCCCCATCTTTCCGCGGTCTTTGCCCCATTCCCTGCTCCCTCAGCCACCCTGACACGTGGAGAACCCTTTCAGCTCAAGTTCCGCTTCTTCAGCGCACATTCCGGCTTGTCGAACTTACTCTCTCCTTCACTGTCTCGGTCTAGTTGGGCCTTAAGAATTTTATAAACATGTTGATCAAATTACATTTATCATGCATTTTTTAGGGTATTTTGTTTGTTTAAAGAAGAAATTCTCTAAATTGCATTCTATTCCCACAGCCTGATTGATTGGGTTTGTTGTCTGTTGTCTGAAAACTGTTGTTTTATGTGTTTTGTCTGCATTTAAGGTATAGGAGGGTCCGTTGTTAGTGTGTTATGCCTGAAGTTGGAAGTGATAGTTGGAGATGTTAACACGTGCTTTTCAGCCACTGATAGAAGCAGGCAGACGTCAGTGTAGATGTAGGTGGTCCCAGTGGTGCTGAGATAGGGAACCACCTCCACCTGAGTGTTGTTCATGGACGTTGACCCAGGACTTGCACTCTCTTTTTAACTGCATGTATTATGTTCCCCGAGATGGACCACAGTCTGGGCCATACAGAGTCTCAGTATATGTATGAAAAGGATTGAAAACATACTGAGTCTATTCCCTGATCATAGTGAGCCTAGAAAACCATAACAAGATGATCTAGAAAAAGTCTTAAGTTTTGGAAATGAGCACTTCTAAGTAATCGATTTGTCAAAGAGGAAATCACAAGGCAGAGGAGAAAATCTTTTGAACCGAAGACAAGTGAAAGTATAACGTGTGTGGGATGAAGCTAAAGCATCGTGTAGAGGGAAATTTATAGCGTTAAGTGTCTACATCAGAAAAGAAAGGTCTGAAATCAGTGACTTAAGGTTCTGCTTTATGAAGATAGAAAGAGAAGAGTACAGTAAACCCTCAGTAGGAAGAAGAAAATAATAAAAGATAAGGTTAAGTCAATCAAATGGGAAACAGAAAAACAACAGAAAAAATTAACAAAAGCAAAGTTGGCTCTTTTAAGAAGATCAGCAAAATGGATTGAGAAGAAAGAAGGAGCACTGATGATCAGTATCAGGAAAGAAGGCATGGTTGTCCCTTCATAAACTCAGACTCTGGTGAGGGAGCTCTGCAGCCGGCAGCTCTGTGGCCGAGGGCACTTCCGCTGCGTCCCCGGGCAGGAGCGTCCTGTCCTGCGTTCCTCTTGGAAGCCCCGTGCTGTTGTGTAGTTACAGTGCCCCGAGCGCACCGCTGTTCCTTCCTTCCTGCTGTTTTTCCAGGTCCTTTTTTGTCACCTCTTGTCTAACGCTCCCCCCTCCCTCTTCTACCTGGGATTCACCTAACTCCCGATCTTCCCGCCCCATCCGTCACCCCCTCTTCCCCCAGCTCTCCGGTTAGTTAGATAAACTGTGTTGTTTCTGTAATTCATGATCTGCGTCTGTATGTTGCACGTAAGACATTTTTCTCATATAATTATCTGCGTGCATGTCTTTCTCCACTGGTAGAGTTTGGAATTATGGCTTGGGACGTAGCCCCTGGCACACAGTATTTGGAACATTGTGAGGTTTTTAAATTAATTTGTTGTTGTTGTTTTTTGGGGGGTGATAATTAGGTTTATTTATTTATTTTAATGGTGGTGCTGGGAATTGAACCCAGGACCTGTGCATGCTAAGCACACGATCTACCACTGAGCTGTATCCTCCCCTGCTTTGAAACAATGTGTTGAATGAATGTTGAATGCATGTGGGAAAATGTTTTGAGCTCCAAGTAGTTGAATTATGAATGAACTTCAGGATCACAATTTTGTGAACCTGACTTGAAAACACAAGAATTTCTGTTGTTGCAGTTTGATGACCTACCTAAACTGATGTGAGAATTGAGAGTTTTGAAAATACTATCCGTTACTAAATATTTTGCATCAGTGTTGATCAGTTATTTGACAGATTGTGGAAAACAGAATATGTGTTTAGATTTTTGTTTTTATATGAAGTAACAGTGTGTTATGGTAGTTAAAAAGCTTCATATGGCTATCATACTTAAAAGACATGCTTTTATTATGTTATTTATTAAGATGCAATTAAGTAAATCATGTTTGTAAATATATTTAATGCTTTACTGTCATGCTTATTACTATAACCTTGGCTATGAATACTGTCTTCTTTAGTTCTTAAGTCTTCAGATGCCCTCGGGTAAATATGACTCAGAATTAATTAATAGGACTGTGCAGTCTTTTTAGTTGTCACAGTGGCACTTTGAAGAAGTCTGCTCATAATCTTTGCCTCGGGGTTTCCCAAGTTGATCTCCAAGTTTAGGTTTGCTTGACAGTGAGGATGTTTTCTTGGTAACTTGAGAGCCTTACGGAGGAGATAAGCAGCCAGTATTCACAACTGTTGCTGGAATATGTTTAAATAAAAAGCACGGCACGTCCGTTTCTCTGGTTAATCTGAGCACTGCGCTTCGGCTACAACAGTTAGTGTGAGCTGTTCACCTGAGCCTGTAGATGACTTTCATTTTACTGTTTAAACTATAGTGAAGTATTTTCTTTTTTCAACTTAGATAAAAACTTTTCTAATAGGCCCTTTCCTCCAGTTGAATAAATTTGAATCATTTCAACATACTTTTCAGAAGTAAAATTGGAGAAAAACATTTTGAGGGTTTTTATTTTCTTTTAGCTGCTAATAGAAAAATAGTATGTGAACCTCTTTAAGCATTTTAAGATTCCAGCTAATCAAAAAATCAATAAACAGGAGTGCTCTTACGTATAAGATTTGCCTGTAAAGTAGATAAGGCCGTGTCTATTTTGCTATGTGTCTAGTAACCGAACCTTTTCCTCCTTTTTCCTTAGGTTCTTGATTATTACAGACCATTTTCTGAAAAGCCCGGAATTGGTTAAAGCCATGTATGCCAAAATGAGCAATCAAGAAAGGTAACCCCCCAAACCAGTGTGGTTTTGAGTATTTAGCATTCCATATAGAGTATCCTGTACACATGACTGAAAAACTGTGTGGTTTCTTTGTTGGCACAAAATCTCTAACTACATGTTTCTGTGTCAGTAATGGTTTTAAATTGGTTGGTTAACATTACAGCTCAGCCACCACGGGCAGTCATTTACGTGGGGTTGCAGAATCCAGGTTGACGCCATTATTCTGAGAAAGCATATTAAAAAACGTTCAGAACAAAATGTTATGGCTTGTCCCTCGATTTTATAGTGGTGATTCACGCAGCCGTGCGTTAGAAATGCATGTATGAAGTGTGCTTACCTGTGCACCCCCCTGCCTGTGTTGATTTGGGGTACGCTTGGCTGGGTTTATCATTTTCTGGGAGGTATTTTAGACTGAAAGACAGTCGGTGCCCATCTGTGACCCTCACCGCTCTGTGGCTTCAGAGCTCAGAGACCTTGGCCCTGCACCTTGGTGTGAGAGTTACTCTTTATGTGACCTTAGCCGGGACTTTTGCCTTGTTTGTGTTCAGTTTTCTGAGGACTGAAGACAATGATTCCTAGTCCTCTTTCCATTCCAATAGGGTGTGATTTTCCTAACCTTTTTGGAAATGCTGCCTTAGGAAAGTAAAGCTTATGCAGAAATCACAGATCTAATAATGATCAAAAACTTTAAAAAATGTTAATCTTTTGATTGTAGTCACAATTTTTATAATTGCTGTGGTTTTGAAATTCTTAACTATACATCTGAGTTCCAACAGTTAATCTTTGTGCACTCCTTTGTAGTCTTAAGCAGTGTTTTTTTCTTCTTTAATATCTTTGACAAAAAAGGAAAAGTTCGTCTTTTAAGTCAGTTTAAATGCCATCTTTATAAATCTGGTGCCCCTGCCACCACCATCATATTGCAGAGAAAGAATTACTTGTAGTTTTTTTTACCTGGAATAAGTACTATGAAGAACAGTGCTATAAATTAGTAAGTTGCTTTGCAGTAAGGAACATCTGAAAACAGAATACACAGTTTAATTGTATTTTAATGTTCAAGCTTATATTTTCCACATTCCTATCAAATGATCTACTGGTAACTGACCCATTACCTAGCCAAATGAGGACGGTACACTAAACATTTTCCGTTTTTATTTATGCAAGAGTGGTTCTGCTTCCCTAAGGCTCACATGTCACCTCCTCCCCTTCATTTTTCTTCTGAAGGAGAAGTGCTTTTCTTTTATCACATCGTTTGTGACACGTCATGTCACGTCACTTACCTGCTTGCTAACTGTGTGACACTGGCATTAAGAGTGTTAGCTCCATGCGGGCCAGGATTTGATCTTTTCTGTTCTGTGATGTTCACATTTCTTAGCCATGCTTAGCACATAGCAGGCACTGAAGTGCTCGAATGAGAGCTTGAGTGAATGAATGAATTTTCTTGCTCGTGAAGAAGAGTTTTATCTAGAACATCGATTAATGTCACCTCACCTGCTGGGTTGGAGACCTCGCAGTAGTCCTGTCCCCACCGTGTCCTCTGCTGTCCGTGCCACGCTGGTCAGTGTGCCTTCCCGAGGACACCAGCCGAGTGTGCTGTTGAGTTTGCTCTCTCGTCACAGCCCTGGTTTGCGTATCGCCTTTGCGTGGACTTTGGCTGTAGCCTCCTTATGAACTCTGAGAAAACGTACATCATATGAAATTCACCACTGTAACCTTTTTTAAATGGACAGTTCAGTAGTTTAAGTGCATGTACAATGTCTGGCAGCCAGTCTGCAGAGCTGCTTCATCTTGCGACATTGAAACTATACCCATAAACAGCCACCCATTTCCCCCTCCTCCGGCCCCTGGCCCCCCTCGTGCTACTTTCTGTCTCTGAACTTGACTCCTCTGCGTACAGGTGGTCCTTGGACAATGCTGGGGTTAGAGGCGCTGACCACCAGGGCAGTGGAAAATCTGAGCATAACTTACCGTCGGCCCTCTGCATCCACGGTCGCTCCACACTCTTGGATTCAACCAACTGCAGAGTGTGTGGTACTGTAGTACCTGTTTACTGAAAAATTCCACATGTAAGTGGACCCACACAGTTCAAATTCATGTTGTTCAAGGGTCAGCTGTACGTCGTGCAAGTGAATCACACAGTATTTGCCGTCGTGCGGCTGGTGTGTTTCACTTAGCGTAGTGTCCTTAAGGTTAGCCACATTACAGCGTGGGTCGGAGTTTCCTTCCTTTCGAAGGCCGAGTCCCACTGCACTATGTGCATATGTCACGCTTTGCTTGTCTGCTCATCTGTCGTGGACAGCTGGGTTGCTGCCACCTTTCAGCTGTGATGAACAGTGCTGCTGAGAAGATGGGTGGACAGTAGCCAGCAGTCTGATTGACCTGGTTTCTGTTTCTCCTCCTCTGCTGTCACCTGCCGTACCACCAGCATGGCTCTTGTCCCGCCGCTTTAGTGGCCTCTGTCACGTGTTCCAGGAGGCAGTTAAATTCCACGTACGGTGCGCAGGCCCTTTTAAAGTGTAGCTTTGTTTCCAATCCCCGTTCTCTTCCCCGGTCACCGCGCTGGCGTCTCGCAGGACTGCTCTCAGTATCCAGGCCTTGCCTGCGCTTCGTGCCAGGAGTGGCCTGACCCCCGCCTCCCCTGCTGGACACGCACTCATGGTCGAGCGGCCGTAGCGGGTGCTGCCTCCTCTCTGTTGGCTCCTCTGACTTTCCCAGGCAGAGTGCTGTGCGTCCTCATCTGCAGGTTCATTGTAATTATTTGTTCTCATGCTAGAATATGTATTCTTCAAGGACAGAGACTGAATCTTATGAGTTCTCTATTATAAATACCCACCGGAAGCAGTGTTGCAACAGCGTTGGAACGAAATAGTCAGCCAGTAGCTGGCACTTACTGGGCCATGTCTTTAAGATGATGTCTCTGTCGATACTTCAGACAGCAGACGGCTCCGGCAGCCAAGGATAGATGGTTTGCTGCATCGGCCTGGCTTCTGGGGAAGCGCATCGTGGGAACTGTTGAGTCCAGATCCTTGTCTTTGCTCAGTGGCAGGGCTGAGCTTGAGGACCGCCAGTGCTTCTGAATTGTAGCCGTCAGCTCGGTCAGACACAGCTCTGCTTCCTTGTTTCATGCGTGTTCTGTGGGGAGAAGGTGTCACATAGTGACATGGAAACCTCTGGGGCACTGACACCCTGGAAGGGCACCGTTATGGGGCTGCCGGGGCAGAGGAGGTGTCTGTGGCGTGCTGAACACCGAGAACGCCGGAGCTGCCCGACCCAGTGGTATTCCAGACCGGGACACTGCTCTGCTTTCAGTAGAATTTTGTCATGTGGGTGAGAGTAATCTGATCATTTCAGAGTCAAAACAGTGTCAGTCAAAACCAGCTTCACATCCTTGGTATATGGGGGGCAGCAGAGATAAGCCTCTGTGAATCCTGTGCCCGAGGCCAAGAGGTCAGGATTCCACAGAGCCGCGGCAGCTGCTCCCAGGACGGGAGGTCGGAGAAGCGACTGCTGTCTTCAGGCACCAGACTCAGAGTTACAGTCCTTCCAGGCACAAGATGTTAAGGTGTAATTCTAGGATAAGACCTTGCTCTTTTCAAAATGCTTGTTTTACATGAGGATATGTGGTGAGTCAGAACTTTAACGTTTAACTGACCACATCCTAAGTCTAAAAAATGTCACTTTAAGAATATGAAAACGAATATATGTATATATATGCATGACTGGGCCATTGTGCTGTGCACCAGAGATTACACGTTGTAAGTGATTGTACGTAGTTAAAAACAGAAGTCACTTCAGAACCAGCTCCACCTTTGTTCCACATTTTGTGCTGTTGTAATTAGTTTTACTATGGATGTGTTATCAGCAAAAACATTTCAAATTTTTTAACAAACAAACATGTACACAGCTTTTGTCACGTAAGTCAGGCACTGTTCTCAGCACTCAGCAGACACTGACTCTTTCATCACATCAGCCCTGGAAGACGGGCACTTCCACTGTCCCTGATTGTGGAAGAGGGCACGCGGCCTCCCCAGGACCGCACAGGTGGGAGGCGGCAGGGCTGGGGCCCAGCCCGGGCAGCCCGGCTCGAGTCCGCGCTGACAGCCCCTGCACGTTGCTGCCTGCGGCCAAAGACCGTGGAGGTGAGACGGCGTCTGCGCTGCGCGGAGAAACGCAAGATGCCCAGCAGCGCGCTGTCCGAGGACACGCTGCTTGAACACCAGCGAGAAGAGACAGGATGGTCCTCCTTCATCTGGGTGTTTCTCTTTCAGGACGTCTGTCTAGTGCACGCCCCTGACACTGATGCCGTGCCAGACATGCTGTTTTGGGTGCCATGGTCAGTCGGCAAGCGTTAGCTCAGTGAACCAGTGAAGAATCCAGTGACGATCTAAGTCCAGTTTCATCGGAGGCAGGTCATACCGGAAGTGGGTCTTTGTAGTTCATATTTCACGTGGTAATGTGGCCTCAGCCAGATTTCCAGCTGCAGCAAACTCCGTTTTCAAGACGCATCAACCAAAAATATTCTGGCTCAGGATTTGTACTTTTGTTTCTTGTGCCCTCTAAATTGCACATAGGCACATATGGAAGCAGTTACACCAGCAAATTTTTGATGTATTTGACCACTTAGGATTAAAGGAAACGGGGCCTACATGCAGAAAGACGTGGTGCTTTCCCCGGGAAGGAAAGGCGACGAGGACTCTCCCCTCTGTGGTTCTGTCGTAGTGTGCTGCTTTGATTTGCTTCGTTTCAGTGAGTGGCTTTTGAGTCCTTGCTCTGCACAGGGCACTGCCCCTTGTTCTTCAGGGAGATGCCGAGGTTAACTAGACGCGCTGCCTTCCCTCAGGGATCCGGCAGCCGTTCTGTGGACCTCCCCGGAGAGCCCCAGCAGGGTATTAAGGGTGTTAATAACTATAACACAAAACACACTCGGGAGCTGCCACCGGAGAGGGACGGGAGTGCGGGGGAGGGGGGAGCTAGCACTCGTCTCTGGAGGCAGTAAGGACTTCGTG